CCAACGATATTAAAGATAGGAAAATACAGACAAAAGACTTGAAGTGCATCGGTAACCGATGGAAAGGTTTGGATTGTCTATAGACACAATAAACGCAATGTATTGAATAATATTGAAGGTCACATATTTCTCTTTCTCAATATGAAATTATGTCCTTGGATCAATTCCCATATGTCGTGGCTACCAACTATCTTACTTATAAGCTACTTAATTTCAAAATTAATTTTAAAGATGATGATTCCTTTGGCTTGGCTTGAAAAATAACATCCCATCTTTTCTTATAGCCGCCTTGTCATTTTTGGACTTTATAGCACAAGCATCATGGCTAGCTTTAATAGGGATAAATACCTAGGAGCACTGATGTGCTTAGCACGATGACAGGCGGTGCGGCCTCCTTTATCATTACTCTTTTTATATATGTACACCTATCTTTAGGTTTTAAATGCGTAAACAGATCTAGCCCAATAAAAAAGAAATTTAATATAATTTACAGATGAGTGATGACAAGTTTAAACTTTCATAACACTTTGGCAATGTATGTGTGAAAAAACCATCATCCTCCATCCTAACTTTAGCCACACACAAAAATATATCTCGGCTTAATAATGTTATCTTATAAAATATGAAACTCTAAACCCTTCAAAATATCCATAGTATTTAAAATTGAAAGATCAAGATTTCAACAAGGACATGAAAAAAGAGGGCAAGAAAATTGAATAAGATGATGATAGTACGATCTATACAATAGTTCAGAAAAAGAATATGAAATTGGAGTTGTTAGATCAAAAAGAAGGAGATATCAACTAGGAGTTGGACTAAAGCATAAGGATCACTACTTTTTCTTCCAAATATTATTACAGCTTGAAATGAATGGTGGCTTGCCTTGTTAAGGGTAGACAGAAAAATTGAATGAAGCATGGTCCATGACCTAGCTTAAATTCTTGTTCTCTGTATATTGTCTCTTTTCTTAGATGTGTCCCAATCAACCATGCACAGAGTCGCAGACAAAGTCTAGTTTGAACGCGACGGCAACCACCCAAGAGGGAGACCACTCTATAAACATGGTACACATCAAGCCAATAAGCAACTTAATTTTCGTGCTGTCATGGGCTGTGTGTGCGCGATACCTGTCATCATCATCAATTCATTATACTAATTGTGCAATGTTGTAGCAATTATGTCCCCCAATCCCAAAGCTATTGGACACCCACCCCAATCCCAAAAGTCCCAGACCCTTTCCAAGCTCCAAGCTCCAATTTCCAATTTCCAAATGAGCGAATGAGTAGCATAGACCATTTGACCTAGAATTAGGGCAGTTTAGAATTTATTGAGGGGTGTCCCGTGAATTGTAGGAGTTGATGGGGATGATAAAAGTTGACACCTAATTATGTTACACCCACACATAATAGTAATTTTGCAGTATTTTTGACTTGTTATTATTATTATTATTTGACAAAGCCGCATTCTAAATTAGACTAATTTATAGAAAGAGGGGTCAAGCTCAAGTACAATGGGGCAGGATGCGCTGCCTTGACTTGCCCGCATCTGCTATTTACTTATTATTTTTAGAATACATTGTTATTAGTGTTGATGGAAGGGCTACATAATTGAAGTTGTGTTCTCATCTTTCGTCGACCCTCTTCTAGCCTTCATGTTTTATACTTGCACAACAATCTTTTTATACAAAGAATATTCTATTTTAATCTAATACAAATTACAAAGAAGGAGATTCGAACTCGAGTGCAAAGTGAGAAACACATCTATTCTAGTCAACTTATTCTAAACTACCCTAATGAACATGAAGGGGAACCACACTCAGTGCATTCGAGCGAACAAACTGCTTTGATTAACTGGCCTTGCCCGCATATGAAAACTGAGACTTGAATTAAACCATTTGTGTTCAAATAAAAACCAAATAAGATGACTTTTAGCTTATGATATACAAGACTTGAATTAGCTAGAATCGAGACAAACATAACATATGATGCATATCCATAAACTACTATTTAACGTGCAAATTAGTTCATTATATCTATGTATAACTATACTTAATTAATATTTTATAGGGGAAAGGACTAGAATCGAATGGAAATTGAAGATAAGCATGCACATCGAATGTTCTTTACAATAGAATAATAGAATAGAGATTTGGGATTCGGTTGTGCTTTTGTTGTGTGACCCATCATCATCATCATGTACTAATCAGCGGTGACTTGTCTGGAAAAGGACAAGTGTCATCTTTAAATCCAGCAGGTAAAAACTTTTTTTTGTGGGTTCCATGGATTTAGGGTGTGAGGCTTTGACCTCCTCTTTCTCTTCTCAAGTCTCTATCAGAAAGCAGGCTGCACGATTGGGACCCTGAGACGCGTTGCACGGTTAATTAATTCAATGCCCGTTAAGACCCTTTCTAAGGCTCATCTCCTGCTTGTTAATTCATTTTCATTTCATAGCTGTTAGCCTATTAGTTTTATTTCTATCAACAACAACAACAACAAAAACCACAACATTCGTTTTCATTTTTGCCCTTCTTTATCGTATATTTTGTATTTGGTTCCCTTATTTTGTGTTTTGTTGTTTATTTTATCTGAAAGCATTTTTGCTCACCACTTTAACCCGAAGTGTATTCTCACCACTCTTCTCAACACTTGACACGTGTTCATGAGCATAACAATAGTTACATAAATCAAAATAAAAAGTTAACTATAATTATGCCTACAGACACGTGTCAAGTATTAAGAAGGTTGGTAAGGATACACATTGCGTTAAAGTGGTGAGTAAAAATATTTTCATTTTATCTAGCCAAATACATTTCACTTATTCATCGTGAAATTAAATGCTAAAATTATTATATACTCCGTTAGAAAAACTTAAAAGGACTCAATTACTAAGGTGTGCAGAACTGTTTGTTTTGTTGAATTTTTTTTTCCAGTTCTTGTGCAAATTTAAAACATATAAACACAAAAGATGGTTGGATGAAATGAATGGTCGAGAATTTTTATTTTCAATTTTTCTTAACCTAGTTTACAAATCTTAATCCCTTTTGTATATAGTTGAAAAAAAGAACTTCTTTTTTTTTTTTTTAGGAAGAATATTTGCATAGAAAGTTAAGTGGGGATACAATCTTGAATAAGGAGATCCTGAACAAGCTAAAGGGGCTCAGGGTTCAGGGTTTAGCATGTATTTATACTCGGAGCAAACCTAAATTTCAAGCCAAAAACTTCACTAGCTAAAATTAAGTAACTTTTGTTTTTCTTTCATAAGTAAATAATATACACTCCATTTAACATATATTCCCTTCGAACTTTATTTAGAGACATCAGTGTTCCATTTATTCCATAACTTGTGTTTTCTGTCATTTGATTACAAATTTTGTTGCCTTAGTTTTCAATGACAACGAACTACATGCAGTTGCAAAATTAGGTACCAATGATTGCTATCTATTAGCGGCCTTAAGATTCAATCCAATAATGGTTATTAGATAGGAAATTTGGTGACTAGTGTTGGATTGGATTGGAAATGAAGGTAGGGGTGAATGACTTTCCATGTTGGGAGAATTAGGAAGGATTAGTTATAAAGTATTGTTATCCCACCATTTTGTGGGGATTACATGGGATAAATTTTCTTCGTAAGTAATCAATCTTCTACCTTCAACTTGGTAAAATAAAAAAATAAAAAAATCATTTCTTCCTTAAATATGCTTTAAATATAGTGAGTGTCCAGTCCAGTCCAATCCAACACTAGTCACCAAACATGAGATTATTTTTTATTTATTTATTTATTTTTCTAGTTTGTCTTTGAAAAACATAAAAGATAGACTCTTAATTAAAAACATATAAGAGATGTAAATACTTTTAACCACGTAAGCTACAAAATACTTGATCTTAATGAACTATTTTTGGTCAGAATCTTATTAAACCAACAACGGTAAATTGTAAGGTCAATTTGTGGTATAAATAATTCACCTTTAGTGTGAATCGAACACAAGACCAAGGGTATAAGGATAATAACTCTAACCACTTAACTACGTCTTGTTTTAGCCATCAAGATCTTAACCAACTATTTTTGGTCTGAATTTTAGTAAAGTAATGATGGTAAATTGTAAGGTCAGGTTGCGGTTAGAAATAATAATTCACCTTTTTGGTCCTAAAGGTATGATGCAATCATGTTGGGTAGAGCATAAGAGGTTAGTTTCTGAAATTGTGAGTAGTTAAGAATTATATGAAAAGGAAAGGACACCATTGCAAAAGCAGCTGTACTGAAAATGGTGTTGAGGCAAAAAGGAAACGAAAAACGAAAAACGAAAAACAAAATGGTAATGATTTAAAAATTAAAACCAAAACTAAAATTAGTAGTGGTATTTGGGGTTTAGTCTGATTGAGACACTAAAAATGGCAGACATTTCACCACCATCATTCTTTTCTCCCCTCCAACTGTTTGGTCTGCTAGCGGTTCTCGGAGCCAAAACCGGAATCAAAGACCAATGTGTTGAATCCTTTGTTCAGACCCAACGGAGCAGGAAAAGAAAAAAAGGAGAAAAAAGGAAAAGAAAGAAAAAAACACCAGAAACAGAGAAAAAGCCAGTCATTGGTACCAATCGAACCTTTTTGCTTTCCCCATCAATCAAATAGTTCGAATTTTTTCTGGGTTTAAAAAAAAAAATAAAAAAAAAAAAAAAAAAAAAAAATCGAAATCTAAAAAACCAAATCACACACCACCACCACACACAAACCCAAAAAAAACAAAACAAACAACAAAAAATTGAAAATTTGTTTTTTGTTTTGTATCGATTCCCTCCACGTTCTTCTCTCTTCTGGGTTTGTTCCATCCAGGAATGGTTACTTCGCTCTGCTTTTGAAGCACCTACATTGTCTGTAAAAGAGATAAAGAGAGCAAAAGAGAGGGGGATAGAGGGGTTTTGATCTGGGATTAATGAGCCAAGAGGAATGTGAGGAAGGTGAAGAGATAGAGGTAGCTAACCAGAGGCTGGTTTTAGAGAGATAATGAGCAAAGAGTTCAGATTCATTTTGAAGGCCTGCAAAGCAACTGTGCGCAAAACACATACTGGTGGAAAGAAAAGGGCCAACCCTTTATTCACAACAATGTCAGTAGCCCCTGCAGATGATGAGCCTGGTGAAATCGGCCATGCTGAGAAGGTCCTCTCCAATGGTGACTTCTATACAGGCCATTGGGTTGATAACTATGCGCATGGCCAAGGCAAGTACTTGTGGACAGATGGGTGTATGTATGTTGGTGAATGGCAGAAGGGCAAGACAGCAGGGAAAGGAAAGTTTAGTTGGCCTTCTGGTGCCACTTATGAAGGTGAATTCAAGAATGGGTATATGGATGGTAAAGGGACTTATACAGGTGCTGCAGGAGACACCTACAGAGGTTCATGGGTTATGAATTTGAGATATGGTCAAGGGACTAAGAGCTTTGTCAATGGGGATTACTATGAGGGTGAATGGCGCCGCGGATTGCAGGACGGTCAAGGGCGGTATCAATGGAAAAATGGGAACCATTATATTGGTCAGTTGAGGCATGGAATGATTCATGGGAATGGAACTATGATTTGGAGCAATGGGAATAGGTATGATGGGTCTTGGGAAGAAGGTTTACCTAAAGGAAATGGCACATTTCGGTGGGCTGATGGGAGTTTCTATGTAGGGGTTTGGAGTAAGGACTCAAAAGAGCTGAACGGGACTTATTACCCAGCAGGGTCCTCTGGTGGTAATGTGGATTGGGATCCTCAGGAGGTGTTTGCAGTGGACTTAAGTGATTGTAAGATATGTTCGGTTGAAACTATTTCGACTTTCCCTTCACAGAAGATGCTGAATTGGCCTGGAATGGAAGGGGAGTTCCCGAACAAGCAGGTTATTTATAAGAATGGAAACGAAGGGAATGCGAGGCCTAGGAGACCTGCAGATGCGAGGGTGAGTAATTATAGTAGGGGATCCAATGGAGATAACATGTTTGATGGAATTGATAGGAGTTCAAGAGATGGTAGTGGAGCATTTGGGAATCTTGAGTTCGAAGGTTCGGTTGCCAAGGGGAATAGACAACAGCACTTTAAAGTTCAGCCAATGAAGAAACAAGGGATAACAATATCCAAAGGGCATAAGAACTATGAACTTATGCTTAATCTGCAGTTGGGGATCAGGTATTCATGATTTGTTGGTTGTTTTCTGCTCTTCATCCTCCCCCTGTTCTGTTTTATCATGGGCTTTTTTGCCTTTCTTGGTACACTTTTTGTTCTTCCTATGCTTTTGATTCTAATCTTTTTGACCTGCAAGTAAATCTTTGAGATAAAAAGAGTTGAACGAGAAGCCCTGGAAATGTACCATGAAAGAATGGGAGGGAATATTTCCTTCAAAAACAGTTGCGTCAAATGTGTTTTCGGATCTTTTGGTTGTTTTGTATCAGTCCTTACTGTGCAACAAAGCTTAAATCTAAGCTTTTAGTTGCTTCGTACCCCTTCACTCATCCTTAATTCTTATTCATCTCTTTGAAGGCCTCCCAGCTTAGCTTATGACGATCTCCTCCATTCAGATTTTCATGCTATGTACATCTTTTTAATGTTCTAAAAGGTTTCTTAGAGCACTCTTTAGTCAAAGAGAAATCTGAGAAAAGCCTTTGAAATTTCTCTGTATATGAGAAATTACAAGTTACATAGTTTCTTTCACCAACTGCTTAAATCATTAGGTCAATTTACAAGTTTGTGAGACTGAAATGGCAGAAAAGAAGGCGAGACCAACATTAGATTATGTTATACTTACCACTCCTTTTTACAATTAAGGAAAATGGAAAACATTTATATGGTCTTGGAAGCGATCCCCAGGGTTAACCCTGGAGGGCAATCATCCTTTCTTCTGCTAGGGTGGCACGGTTCTTTCGGTGGAAACCTGCTACTCTACCAAGCAAATATGATCCTGGGAGGATTTAATTATTAATTTTTTACAACTCAACATCTACAGTTCTTAACTATTTTGTATTTTTAATATATGAGTTTCTGGTATGGCAAAATTGACAATTTCAACTTCTTTCCTCTCGTTAAGTGAAAAGGTTTCCACTAAGAATATGAAATTTAAAAGTTTATATTCATGAGATAACTCTTCATTGCATGTAATTGGTTTCTTGTGCCATAGCACAGACATTCTGTTGGAAGGCCTGCTCCAACTACATCTCTTGACCTGAAGACTTCAGCCTTTGATCCAAGGGAAAAAGTATGGACAAAATTTCCCCCAGAAGGATCCAAGTATACTCCACCCCACCAGTCATGTGACTTCAAATGGAAGGATTACTGTCCTGTGGTTTTCAGGTAAAGACCTGCAAATGTTTCTTTTGTAATGGATCATCTTTCTCTATCTAAGTAATTTAGTAGTGTGGTAAAGTAGTTGTTGGTTGTATAATACAATTCTGAAATTACCATCTCTGTGACACAAAGAGTTTCGTAATTAACTCATAGTTTCTTACAGATATATGATTTGTTTCATCATACAAGCACACTACTAGCATATCGTTTCTTTACATTCAAAATCTCGGTTGGTTCTGATTGAAGCATACATGGGTTACTGATTCGTCCTATTTACCCCTCAGGACTCTCAGGAAATTGTTTAAGGTAGATCCAGCAGATTACATGATATCAATATGTGGAAATGACGCCCTTCGAGAGCTCTCGTCCCCTGGAAAGAGCGGAAGCTTCTTTTACTTAACCAATGATGACCGGTACATGATAAAGACCATGAAGAAGGCAGAAGTAAAAGTAAGTTTTGTCTCTTCCCTTTTCCCCTTTCCCCCCACTTCCTGCTTTGCCCCCACCAACCCCAACCCCCCAGATTTATATTGACTATTTGTGCCAAAACTTGCAGTTATAACCATATTCTGTCCCTTCAATTAAGATTTAAAATTATCAAATTTAGCTGACGAATGTTGTGATTCTTGAATTAATCCACAACAAATAAGAGTCTGTACTTTGTACTGCATTCTACTTCTGAAATTCATGTCTGTGGCATTCTGCAATTCCAAAGTTAGCACTGAATTATGTTGCTGCCTCTACTATTTACATTAATCATGACATCCTTCCCAATTAATACCCGAGTGAATTCTGATTTCATCCTTAAAGTTTCCACACCATATAATGTGCTGATCTCCACTACCCAATACTGTTACAGGTGCTTCTGAGAATGCTTCCAGCTTACTATAATCATGTTCGAGCCTTTGAGAATACTCTGGTCACCAAATTTTACGGTCTTCACTGTGTAAAATTAACAGGGACTGCCCAAAAGAAGGTAATGTTCTTTGGTATTTAACCTTAATTGCGTTATCAACTTCTGATTATGAACTTTATGAAATTCCAGGTGCGATTTGTCATTATGGGGAATCTATTTTGCTCCGAATATGCCATTCATAGGCGGTTTGATTTAAAAGGCTCCTCCCTTGGCCGTACAACCGATAAACCTGAGTCCGAAATTGATGCAACAACGACTCTTAAAGACCTTGATCTTAATTATATATTTAGGTTGCAGAAGGTTTGGTTTCAAGAGTTCTGCAGGTATAGTTTTACTTTTCCTGTCTATCATCTGTCTCTCTCTCTCGCTCTCTTTCTTTTGCTGGTTGGGAACTTGTGTTCTAAGTCTCTTCTCTATGATTGTCTTGGTCTACTGTATAAACTTTTTTGGTTAGGAAGAGGAATAAAAAATATATGAACGTTCCCTTTCCTTCATTATAGTGTTAAAACTGCGTAGGAATAGCTAGAGTCACCATCATGACTCATAAGGTTTATGCATATTGTGCAACCTCAATATCATTTCTCTCATAATGAATATTCTCAATGGTAGGAACTTGATGAGAAAAAAAATAGTTCCTCAGTCAGATTATACTTTCCACTATTATGCACAATCATGCATGTTGAAAAAGAGTTCCTTGGCCTTAAACTAGCTGCTAAAGCTCATTTTTCAGAATTTTTGCAGTTTTGGTTATTTGTCAAAACTCGAAAGTAAGTAATGCCTGACTTTAGGAAAAAGGAGTGGTTGATTGAGGATGAGTGTAAGATGCTAAGCACTTTTGAGCAAACATTCAAGTCATAGTCAGAACTTATGCTAACCATTCACAGTTTAATTCTCTCTTTTTTCTTTGTCTCCTAACATTATCACTCCATGTATGCACGTGTACCTATGCAGTCCGTTGAGCTTAGAAACTCAGTTTAGCAAAGCTGATTAAGTTATTAAGCTTAGGCTTTGTATCTTGTTGTGCATTAAGCATATCTATATATATAAAAAAGCATAATGTCTGAATAAATAAAATGATAACAATTTCCATAAAACCTGAGCCTGATTTATGTTGGGGAACTGATTCCTATTAGTTTAACATACAGGGGGAAAAGCCCTCATTTTGGTAGTACCCCTTCCTTTATAAAGTTTGAGTTTGCATTAGATTCATACACTTTGAATGCTATGTCCATATGTGAGAATGTTTGGTACATTATTAGATATGGAGGATTTTGCAGTAATATTTTAGTCTAGTTTCTCTTTTTAAGTTAAAAGTATACCTTGATGCAGGCAAGTGGACAGAGATTGCGACTTTCTTGAACACGAAAGAATAATGGACTACAGTCTGCTGGTTGGCCTTCACTTCCAAGAAGCTTCATGCAGGGAACCCCCCACACCAGACCGAACCTCTGGAGTTCGCACTCCTACTGGTTATTTCTAGCTCATTTCTTCAATTACTTGGCCAGCTCATAAATTCAAAGCGAACCCTTTCTGACACATGATTTATGTTGTGATCTCGCAGGAAATGCCGACCCTGACAATGAAGGGGCCCCTCGCCTTTCGAAAGTCGACATGGATAGGCTTATTTCTGACTCGAACCGGTAGGAATGAATCCATTAACACTGTGCTAACTTTCATCTTTTGAAGAACTCCCTAGTAGTAATTATACCTGATTCATATGATTTGATTGCATTCTTTCAGGTGGTCTTCGATTAGATTAGGTATTAATATGCCTGCATGGGCTGAAAGGACAGTGAGAAGAAGTGATTGTGAGGCTCAGTTGGTTGGAGACCCAACAGGAGAATTATATGATGTCATTCTGTTCTTCGGTATAATTGACATACTACAGGACTATGATATCAGCAAAAAGCTTGAGCATGCATACAAATCATTCCAATATGACCCAACTTCAATCTCTGCTGTTGATCCGAAGCAATACTCAAGACGCTTTCGTGCTTTCATCTTCAGAGTTTTTGTAGAAGACACATGACGGTATAATTTGACCCGAGTTTTAACTTGAAGCTGGCAGTCATCCCTGTATAGTTGGTCTTTAGCGGAAATGGCAATGCTTACTAAAAGAAAGCATCAGTTTGGTCATTGACATTGTCATTGAGTTTGAGTAGTGGCTGCCAGGGGAGTATGCTTTGGCATATCTGTTATTGCATTTATTCCCCAGTGTCATAACCTCTTTTAATTTATAGTCACAGATATATGATGTGTTCTGGTTAGAGATTAAAGTTGTGAACAGAGTTACTCAAGCCTTTTGGAATTGTAAATGAAAAAGAAAACCAAAAGGTGTGGACCTACAGTGGATGTGATTCATTTTGTATAAATATTTGTTCTTCCCAGGTGAGGTGTCTCTGGGATTTCAACATTGAAAGAGAATGTACAGGAAATGAACGGACAAGCTCTAGTTTATCATGCCTTTACAATTAGATGGACTCTTGTGTATTTTTCTTTTTCAGTTTTTATATTTTGTTTTGAGATGTGATTCTTTGTGTCATAGCCTAAATCAAGCTACATATCATGATCTCCATTGAAAGGCCAGCAGGTGCAAGGCTGGATGAACATGCCGGTGCAAACAAATGAATGACAATCCTAACATTCCTAAACAAGATGTGTTTCTTTCTTAGGCACTCCTCTAGTAGAGGTTGACAGCCCTAAATTGCCAACTGCATCGCAGCCACTTTAATGGTTCGCGTCTGTTGAAAGTTATGGCGATAATAGAAACAAAATGTGTCTGATCGGTTTGGTTCAATTTTCATTGGTTTGAGGCAGCAACGATGGGAGAAGAGGTAGGGAGGGTCAGCAAGGAGCTAAGGCTTTAGAGAGAGAGAGCGAGAGAGAGAGAGAGAGAGAGATAACATATATGAATAGATCTAACTACTAGTGTTAAAAAACAAGACGTCATGTTCCCATTGAAAAAAAAACAAACAAAAAACGAATTTTTTTAAACAAATTGGTAAAAGATTTGTCAAAAAAAAATAAAAAAATTCAATACAATTTAATAACGATAAACTTGGAAAGTATAAACTAGTTTGTATAACACATTAATGACATTGTTTTAAGTGCAAGGAAAATGACATGTGTCATGAGGAAAATAGAGAAGATTCAAAAGAGAATGTTAGAGAGAAGGTTGCTAGCATTCTCCTAATAATTAAAGCATATTTTAGAAATAATGGTGGGTAAGGAAATAGGATTTGGAGTGGAAATAGCAACACTTATTTGTTATTTGCATAAGCTTTCGTGAGAACAATTTGAAACTTTAGAAGGTATTTATGTAATTTTTGAAATCTCATGGGTTTGGTGAAAACGCCGAAAACTTCAAGGGTGTTAATGTAAATAACTCATACATCCAATTGAGGAAGAGGCTTCCAAATTGCTTCTGGGCCGTGCCTGAGAGAAACCACGTCGAGCGTCTATAAACCAAAGCATCATCACCCAAATGTTCTTCGCCCTTTGTCCCAAAGAAACAAAAGCCCTCGACTTTTTGTAAGTTTGAAGTTCAACCCTTTGTTTTGGGTTTTCTTATTGCCTCAGATTGGAGTAATTTCTTTGCTTTGATTTGTAGCTATGAAGACTGAAGAAGTTTTTCTGGCAGAAGATTTCCTACCACCATGGATAGCAGCAGTGAGCCAGTGACCGTCAGTTGTGAAAATGGTAAGAAAACTTACCCTATCTGCAATGGTTTATCCTATACCAGGCAATTTTATTTGGATGGTTCAGATCTTTTTTGAATGCCGAGAACTGCATATTTTCTAAAGGCAGAATATCAGCTAGGCTTTAATTCCTGTAGAAATTGTTCATCATCAACCTCCAACATGATTCAACTCCGCAATTTGAAGACCTTCAGATTGGTTCACTCAATATTTTCTTGTACATTTGCTTCCAAAACAAACAGAGTGTTGGTTGGAGATCCAAAACCCTCACATTTTTCTCTTCTGAGTCAGTTGCTCTGTAGACACATCACCTGCGAAATCTCAGAAAACCAACACAATTTCACAGTAACTTACCTCATAAACACTTGTGGATTGTCCCCAGAAGGAGCGATTTTAGCTTCTAAGTGGGTCGAGTTGCAGTCACCAGAAAGAGCAGACTCCGTTTTAGAGCTTCTGAGAAACTATGGAGCATCTCAAACCCAGATATCAAAGCTTATTAGGTCGCATCCAAGACTTCTTTTAACTGATCCTGAGAAAACCCTTTTGCCAAAGCTTGAGTTTTTCAGCTCTCTTGAAATTTCAAAAGTGGACCTATTAAAAACTCTGGCTTTTAATCCAAAACTTTTGGCAATCAGCTTGAGAAATCGGATTTTGCCTACTTATAACTTCCTCAGGAGTATGCTCTCTGAGAAAAATGTTGGTGTTGTTTTCAAGCTCAAGTCATGGATTTTCTTGGAAGGTCACTGCAAGCATGTGGTGCCAAATATTGGGCTTTTGAGAGAATCGGGCATGCCTCAACCATGCATTTCTTTTTTGCTAACTCATGGTACTTGCGTTTTGATGGTAAATCCTGAAAATTTTGGTCAACTTGTGAGTGAGGTTAAGGAAATGGGATTTAATCTGGAAAAATCAACTTCGGTGAATGCCCTGTGTGCATTAAGTGGTAAGAATAAGTTGGTATTGAATAGAAGTCGCGAAGTTCTTAAGACATGGGGTTGGTCTGAGGATGATTTTCTCTCTGCTTTCAGCAAGTACCCACAGTGTATGGTTGTCTCGGAGAAGAAACTTATGCAAGCAATGGATCTTTTAGTGAACAAGATGGGATGGTCGTTAGGAATGATTGCCAAATATCCTGTGGCCTTCGGTCTCAGTTTTGAGAGGAGACTTATCCCAAGGTGCTCTGTTGTTAAAGTTCTGTTGTTGAAAGGTTTCATAAATGAGAACTTGAATCTGGGTTCTCTGCTGAAACGAACAGAGAAGCAGTTCTTGGAGATTTTTGTGAACAGATATCTTGGCGAAGTACCTGAATTGTTAAGTGTGTATCAAGGGAAGGTAGATATCCAGGATGTCTGATCTGATATGTTGAAACGGGTGAGGATGTAATTATTTTAGCCACCTGATGCTGCATCAGTCATATGCATTAGCTTGCTTTTGACACAATACTATAATGCTGTCCTCTACCCTAGGAATTTTGTCTTTAAAGTAAGGTTTAAATTGTATCCCACATCTTACTAAAATTTTGCAGGAAGTAAATTCAGTTTTTCGTTCTTCTACTCGGCAGCCAACCTGTTTTTAATTAGATTTATATATGCTTTCTTATTAGATCAAATGCCTGCCGTAGCGTCGGCCCGAATTGTTCTGTTTATGGTTCCCGACTTTGGTTACCCTTGAAAGTTGATTTTGTACAATGTGCGCATGTATTGCTTCTATAGGAGTACAATGTATTGTATTTTGGGTGAGGAGTGGAAGAAACTAATTTCTGTCCATTTTTCAAAAGATAAGAATGATTCTCAATCCTTTATCCCTTGCTCTTTTGAGTAATTGTCCTTTGAGATGCAGCTAGCCTACTTAAGCGGCCACGGTTGGTTTATAGGAACTACTTCAGTGTCAATGATTGATTAGATTCATATGTAATCATGTCAACATGGCATCGAAGGACTCGATGAGCATCGTTTTCGCATTGTTTTCTCGTGTTAGCCTTTTTACCGAGACCTTAACGATTAGGAACGCGATATCTGCAATGCTTGATGAATTGGGAATTCAGGGGACATAAAACTCGGCTCTGATGGATGTGCAAAGTAGGGTGGTTTGGCATTTGTTATCTTTAGGATGAATTTATTCCGCACTGATGGATGTGCAAAGATGTGTGGATCTCAAGGATCAATTTCACTGTTTTTTGGAATAAATTTCTGTTCAATGAACTTCTCTTCGTTCGCCAAAATATAAAAAGAGACCTTGTTTATTCTTTACTTGGTTGACAGTTTTCAAGAATTGATTCTTAGTTAGCATACATGCAACTCATTGCCCCAAGCCATGAGAAAATAAGTGCCTGAAATTAAATTTTCTGATGTTATGCAAGCACTTAATTTTCTCAAGGATATTTATAAAAAAAAATCTCACATGAACTTATACCTTGAAAACAATTTATCATTATAAAGAAAAATTTAAGAGAGATGTGTGAAACCCCATATTTTTAAATATGTATATTAATATTTCATAAAATTAATTATTTATAATTATTAGTTTTCAAAAGATATAATTGATAATATATATATATATATATATACACAGAGAGCTTCCATTGAGGGATCCCTCAAATAAGCTTATTTGAGGGACACCCCTTGTAGGCCTCACTATGAATTGTATTTCACTAATCCAAACCGACTATTTTGTAGATACTCATTCAAAGATTATCTCTACAAAAATCATTTGAATCCGATATCATTTGACCACTCAATTGAGTTATTGAAATTTTAGTACTTTCTTGAAGCACCGTGTTCATTGATTTTGTAAGACACAATTGGATGTCGAAACGATTTCCGATTTGTCTAATTTTTTGTAAGGATGATCTATGAATGAAGACCTAAAAAGTATATGGTTTGGATCGTTGGAAAAGAAATTGTAGGATACCCTAAAGGGCGTCCCTCAAATAAAATTATTTGAGGGATCCCTCAATAGAAGGGGACTATATATATATATATATATATATGACAAGTTACGTGAATCTAAACATTAACTAGCATAAGCCTATCAAATCTTATTCCATGGCTTTAAATATATCAATTCATTTCAGCCTTATTTAATATTTATTATATACACACACTTTACAAAAGCATTTAGAAAGATTTTTGTTTTCTTACTAAGCTTTCTGTTAAAGATTGACGTGTTGCAATATGGAATCCTCAAAAACAATTAAAGCATGAGGTGGGATATATTGGCATGATGTGTAAGAACAGTAGGTATCCCTATATATATAAACTTAATTGGAGAGTGCTCGCTAAGCACTCTACAAAGCCAACACATAAGGCTATTTGGGGTGGCAGATTACTTTCAAGCCACCCAAGTAGTCTAGCAATCTATAGGCTAGTTATGTGGCACAATATTAAACTTTTATCTATATCTTTGCCGACTCTAGTTTGCTATAAATAGCCCTACCTAATAGTTCATGTATCATAAGTTCTTCAAGTTGCGTTAGTTTCCTAAAAATCGTAGATAAAAGAAAGAAAAGAGTGAGAATTAAGTGTGACGAGATTTTGGAGAAGCTCAAAGTGTTTGGACTTGCAACTAGGAGTTATACAATAGCTTTGGATTTGAGGTAGGAGTTTTTCTTAGGGAGGCTTTACATAAATTGATTTAATTAAATATTGTGAACACTATATTATGCTTGGTAATATTATTTGATTATTATCCTTGATATTGGGTGTTTACATGTTGTCAATTATCATTATAATTTGATTAATATTGACATGTTCATATGTTGTCGGTGGTGATTGGAATTCTTGGCTTGATAAAGAAATCATGGAAAAGAGGGTAATGGGAAGGATCTTTTGTGTAGTTGAGTCTGACCATTGTAGGGTGATAGGATTTTTAGTACATGTGCAATTAGGGTTAAAATAACATAAAATACTTGTAAGAATACAAGGCTATTGTAGTATAGATGCTCATGTCTCCTCAATGACTATTTAGCAATTTATGTAAAAACAATTTCCAATTTACTACATAAAATTAAAAGTTGGGAAAGATGAATAAGAACTTATTTGATACTAAAAACAAATTTTAAACAGAAACAATTACGATTGAAGGACAGATTTTTAAATACCAATTTATAAAAGCACTAGGGTTTCACCATCACCTAGCAATCCTATGAAATTTTTACCAATTACTTATGATTTACACATTTCACTTTGAAGGTTAAGTTTTCCTAATTTATATTCTACTTGGAACCTCCAACATAGAACGTATATCCAACATGCAACCCATCCGGACGTTCGGATTAAATCTGAACATGAAAGACTCATTAAGTTTTGTGAAAACCCTTTGAAAAACCATGCAACCCTAAGACGTGGTGTTCATCTGAAGTGAAATTACAATTATTAATCACAAGAAGCTAGCATCAATTTCAGGGAACCTTCTGACCAAAATTGTATCCAATTACTTTTCTAAAGATCCTAATGGTGATCAGGCATTAAGACAATTAGATAGTTTAAAATAGTGATTAACAATTCAAAGTATGCATGCACTCAATCATAAGCAATTAAATAAAAATCACATATTCATGCTAAGGTTCAAGGCTTCACCCTAGCAAAAGAGAATTAGTTACGCATATTCATAATTGAAATCCAAGAAAATATCATTAAGAAGAAAAGAACGAAAACACCTTGAAGTCGCGAAAACCCAAAACCCTAGCAATTGCTCTCCACAATGTCACGTTCAAAAGCCAAAAGGAAGTCCCAAAATTGCTGTGAAAAGGAGCTTAAATATCTCCTAAAGCCTAGCTGCCCAATCCCCACAAGGAAACTAAGTTAAAATAAAATAATACTAGGAGATAAAGTCCAAATTAGATTAGGAGAATCTGCCCACAATCTGCCCAGCCACGTTTTGGCCTCAAATCTCCTCCAAAACTGGCCCAAGATAACTTGTTTTAAAGATAAAAATATTATGAACACTTCCCCAGAAGGTCACGAACCCATCTGAGGTCATCTTGGGCTCCGAAAATGCAATAAAAGCCCAAAACGTCACTATTTCAGCACCGCGCACTGCACCATCATTTTATTGCCAGAAAATAACCGCTTGGTAGAAAAAATATGAAATTTTGATACGATCAAGCTAAGTGACTCTCATACTTCCTCCAACTGGAATTACTCCAAAATTCATCCATTTGATTATGTTTTGCTCCAGAGAGAGTCGAAAGTCCTATATTGGAAATATAATTCAAAGTATCAAAATTCTTCCAAAATATTAACCAAGATATACTAAGAATGAGGTTAAATATGTAATATAAAATATACCCATCATAGGGACCAAGTTTAGGGGAGCCCATGTGCACAGTAGACTAGGAAATTGACGGTATAATTGTCGATTGGGTGATTTGGGCTTGGAGATCAATGGTGTAGACAAGACGACTAGCAAAAGGGGAATTGTGGGATAATTGAGATGGGTGTTAGTTTATATAATGGAGCATTCGGATGCACAATGGTAAAATGCATGGTATGGGACATGCAGATTTGCTTGCCCTATTATATAGATTAACAGGTTGGGAAAAATTGAAGTTCATTCATGCATTACATAAATTGTACATTATAAATCTCACTAATCACATAAGACATAGGACCCCTACTGAGCATGTAGTGCTCACCTCTTATTGAATCTATTGTAGGTTTTGAATCTAAAGTTTAGTTTGCGATGAGGAAACAAGAAGAACGAGTTGTGGATAGTTTTGAATGTTTCGTTGAAAGTTTGTTACTTTCTTGTTATTTTGCTTGTAAAATTACAATGTAAATTACTTTGGTTTAAATAGAAGTTTATGTTCAATCTTCATGTTTCTTGATATTTAATTTTTAGTTTTAGTTTTTCTTTTACCTCACACTCCCACTATAAAAAAAAAGAAAAAAAAAGGGGTAAACTACCGTAAACTCCCCAACCTATAAGGTCATTTACGAGTGCATACCCGATTTTGGGGACATTTATGAGTACATACTCAACGTTGTGGAAAACCTACAATTTGCCCCATCCGTTAACCAAACAGTTAGTGAATCTGTTAAATGCTGACGTGGCGAATGTGAGACCCCTTTTTTTGATGACGTGGACTTCCACATGGACAAAAAACTAATAAAAAATTATGTACATGTTAAAAATAATTTTTAAATCATATTAAAATTATTAAAAAATGAATAAAAAAAAGAAAATTAAATAAATTCTCATCTCTCTTCTCCAACCCAGCCGTCCCTCTCTCCCTCCCCATCGTTACAAGTCTTCACGAGTCGGTCCAGGTTGTTGACGTCGATGGCCGAGATCCAGGTCGTCTCTCTTCAGCCCCTTGACCGCCAGATTGTTGACGTAGACGGCATTCCAGATATGGATCCGGTGATGACAGTCAGGATGCGGTGGGATTCGTGGTTCAAGGCTTGGCTTCGGGGTTGCTCTATCTACATGAAATTTTGCAGCAACCTCTGTTGCACACAAATATCAAATCGAGCAATTATGGTAGATTCTGATTTCCACGCAAAACTTTGGGATTTCGAGTTCGACAACAGAAAAGAGCCACAAATGATAACCACAAGCCACATGGCTCCTGAATATATTGACACTAGACAGTTAAGCAAGAAATCAGACGTTCTCAGCTTCAGAATTGTTGCTTTGGAGGTAGTCAAGTCAATATGGTAGAGTGGGTTTGGGAGCTTTATGTAAAAGGAAAAGTTATCAAAGCAGTTGATCCAAAATTGCGTGGAGATTTTGATGAGAAACAAATTGAGTGTTTGTTGATTGTTGGGTTGTGGTGTGCTCATCCAAATTACAATTCCAGACCTTCAATACAACAAGTGATTCAAATGCTTAACTTTGAAGTTGCAGTGCCCATTCTCCCATCAAAGATGCGAACTACCTGTTCTCCTCTTACAATATCAATTTCTGGTTCGTCTTCTAGTATTGGTTCTGAAGGAGGGCAAGTTGATGACTCTGGCCCTAATTATATCACCAATTGCTCACTGATCATTGAATATCTCTAGCAACTTCTCCTCCATTTGGTGGCGATTAAGTCAGAGCGGATGAAGACGGTCAGGATGCGGTGGGATTCGTGGTTCAGAAAAAAAAAGAAAAAAAAGAAGAAGGTGATTTCGTGGTTGCATTCTCTTCTTCGACGGATCTGGAGTTTTGGACTTGCCGAATCTATGCGGTATAGGGGTTGGTTTGGACTGGAGGAGTGGAGTGGGGGAGGGAGATAGGGTAACGATGGGGAGGGAGAAAGGGTTGGCTGGGTTGGAGAAGAGAGATGAGAATTTTGTTTTTCTTTTTTTAATTCATTTTTTAATGATTTTAGTATGATTTAAAAATTATTTTTAACATGCACATAATTTTTTATTAGTTTTTTGTCCACGTGGAAGTCCACATCATAAAAAAAAAGAGTCCCACATTCGCCATGTCAGCATTTAACAGATTCACTAACGGTTTGGCTAACGCGGGAAGGGGGGGTGGGGGGGCAAATTGTAAGTTTTCCGCGACTTTGAGTATGTACTCATAAATGTCCCCAAAATCGGGTATGCACTCTTAAATGACCCTATAGGTTAGGGGGTTTACTGTAATTTACCCAAAAAAAAATTGGGGTGTGACAAAATGTCACCTCAATTTTTCAAAATCCATGATTTGTCATCTCACTTTAATACCATCTAATTTTTCATCTATTTTTAAGGGTATTTTAGTTTTTCTGTTTTCAAGGGTATCTTAAAAATAGAAAATCATTAAAAAAAATAAAATTGAAAATAAAAACAATATCACCTTGCCCCATCATCTGTGCACCACCAGAGGCTCCAACCAACCCCGCCCACCTTGAAATCCAATCCTCCTTCCCTCTTTACAGGCCCTTCCTCCATTCCCCATTCCACACACAAATTTCCTCAGCCCACCCAAACAAGGCATAACAAGGAATTTATATAGGGCTGGGCTAAATTTTTTGGGAGATTTTGTTGGCACCCCATTCTAATTTTAAATATGAATAACCTATTTTACCCTTGTACATAATTACCGTTAAGGACAAAAAATATTTAAAGTTAGACTTTTTTTCTCAAACCATCATGTTCCTACAACCCTAACGAGGTTTATATGTTTATATTAGTGAAAAATATCTTGTATTTATTCATGAAGGGTGAGATTGAAGTTAGAGAGGCTTTGAATGAGGTATGAGTTTATTTTTTGGCATTTTTCAAGTTTAGGATTTCATGATGGTTGTTGGTTGAGTTCAACACATCAGTACTGAATGCGATAGGTACATTCAGTGGGATGCCAAATGTTGTACCTATTTCAGTTGTGTTTGACCGGCCGCTAACTTAAGATGCGGTGGAGATCCACCGTAACATGGAACGATGTTCAGTGGTGTATTACTGAACTTTTACATGCAGTTATGTGGCAGCGAACCAAAATATATTTATTTTTTCAATAACTTATCGTGGACCATAAATTTAATGCAAGCTATTTTGACCTTACTCCCATTGAATGAACAAAAACAAGGTGACGCCCTACTGAAGGCAATAATGTGGGAACATAATGTGTAATGGACTATAGTGATCAATGCATAACTTATTTGGTAATTATTTGAGTTTTTTTTTGGGTCTGAAATCCTTTTTAGTATCATTAACGTGGCATTAATGTTTCAAATTTTAACTTTAAATAACATGAGTTTTATGTGTAGATATTCAATGGTAGAGATGCATTATTTAGATGGGCTCGTGCACAAGGAAAAATGACTAATATTGTAATTATAATTAGAAGGCCTGATTATGGAGGTGAGGACAAGAGGAGACCTCGAGTAATACTTGCTGGTGAAAGGAGCGATAACTATAAGTCTTGCAAGTCTAGTGAGACAACTGATGTAAGGTCGGATGCAAATGGTGATACGAAAAAAATGTGCTAGGGACATTGGTATTAAGAAATGCGGATGCCCATTTATTCACCCGTTTTGTGTTTGCTCCTATGATGGAAGGGCAAAGTTCCCCATTGCCTTGAAAATCATTGACTGGTCAACAAGCCAACTTTCTTTGGTGTGCGAGCATGCCACTACTAGCAATGAAAAATTCTAGCAGACTTCTTTGAAATAGATAACTTGCGCCCCAAGTTACTGATTTCTAAACAAGCGATTGTGAATTTGGGTGAGGAATATCTCCCAAGTAAGTTCTTTTCTTGCCTCAGACTAGTAAGGACTTCACAATCTATCTCAGTACAAGATTGGTAGTTCTGGCCAGAATAAATGATAATAAAGTGGACTGTTTTAGGCAGAACTGCCCTTTACAAAACTAGAAAGGGAAAAATCAACTCTAGAAAGACAAAAAGATGGCTAAAATTCAATTTCTGCCTAGATAGAAGCTTCTGATCTGGGTTGGACTGGGTATGTCTGTGCTAGACTGAACTGTCAACAACTTCAACTGTTTAGCTTCAGTTGTAAATCGATACCAAAGTTCAATTTTGGCAGAGCTTTAATCTACTTCAAGCCTTATGAGGCTTTTGAACGAGCAGAACTGCGACCTCTTCAGTCTGAAGGGGCAAAAGTGGCTGGATTTGAGGACTTACTGAGCTGGAACTGCACTGTGGTACCTGTTCCGCTTGATTAGGGCTCTCCATAAATTTGTTGAGGTTTTCATATTTGTGAAAACTCAAACTCTGCTTGTCTTGGCTTTTGCTAAACCAAATTTGTAACGAGAGAAGTCTCGTTTTGAATGACTTATTTCTCTAAGTCTGAACTTGGAAGTTCTAATCTATAGCTGGCTTCTTTTGTGGCTAAAATGAGCTTTTGGTTGCTCCAGTTTGTTTTGAAGGTTCTCAATGATCAAGTGATCATTTTGAGTTTTTTCCTTTGGTTGATTTTTGATTGTTTGATTGATTGTTGAATTGAGTGTCCCTTGCTTTGTTCAACCTCTCCTATATTTATAAAAAATGCTTTGGAGTAGGGTTTCTTTCTTTTAATAATGAGCGGCAAAATTCTCAAAAGATCTTTCATTTTTAAATGCAAAGAAAAAAAGTTTTATCAGTTATGGCAGATAAGCCCTCAATGGTCAGTTCTTAAGACAATCACTTCCCTGTTTTTGAAAGAGAACCTAACCCCTCTTTAATTTTAACTGCCCATTGTGAGAGCTCAAATCATGATGGTTAGTTTGATTTTCTAGTTTGAACAACTCCCTGTTTTCCTGCTTATCTCTTTTTGAGATTGTAGTTTGCTTATCTCTTGAAATATGGTGCATTCTCTGAAGTAGAAACAATATCTCTAAATATATAAAAAGGGATTTGATCTTCTGATGGCAGAGATTCAGAGATGTCTCTTCCTAGTTGTCTGCTTTTATCAACTCCTTATCAACCCAGTTGAAATTGTTGACTTTTCAGAGAGAAAAAATTCACGTGAGTCTGTTTCTTTCTTGGGCTCATCCGTCTTTATTTTGAACATGCCAAACCCAATTTGGATTTCTTTGAAGCCCAAGTTTTCTCATGATGGGATAGGTTCTGGGCTGGGCTTTTGTTGGATTTTGGGCCCTTGATTCTTGTTTATTTCACAAAGCCTAAACTGCTTGGGCCCTGCGTCTTCGTTTTGGGATTTTCCATGCTGAGCTGGGCGTGTGTTGCTGGTGACTGCCTAAAACTGACATGGGCTTTTGATCTTTTGGACTGGGTGTGTCAAATTAGGCCCAAACACCATTCTTGTTATAAGGTGTCAATATTTGTGATGAGGATGATTGGAAGTTGGAGGTGGTTTGTAGAGTATACAACCATCCTATTTCAAAGTATCTTCAAGGTCATTCATTTGTGGGGTGACTTTCTGAAGAAGAGAATGCTTTGTTGGTGGACATGTCTAGAGTTTGGTGAAACCCAGAAATATGTTGGTCATCCTGAATGACAGAGATGCAATGAATGTTTCAACTATGAAGGCAATATACAATGCTAGGATTCGAAAATAAAACCAAAGAATTTGATGGGAGAACATAAATGCAACAATTGCTTACTAAGTTATCCGAACACAATTATATTGAGTGGCATAGGACATCTGGTGATATTGTAACTGACTTGTTTTGGACACACCCCATTAATATTGAGATTTTGTGTGCATTTCCACATGTACTTATCATGGATTGCACCTATAAGACTAATAGATATCATTTCCCACTATTCCAAATTGTAGCTGCTATGTGAGTTTTAAAACTCGTAAGAAAAAATGAATCAATGGGACCTACTTAAGATGGCTCAGTATGCTCAACATGTATCTCAACATTACTATCATGAGTAGCATCTACATCTTCAACCTCTGCATCAACATTATTATCATGAGTAGGAGCTACATCTTCAACCTCTGTAGTATCCTCAAAGTGATCTTGGAGAGCCACTCTCTGTCTCCTCGTTGAGGCTGTGAGACGTTGTCTATCAGGTCAAGATGATGAAGTCTCAGTAGTACCTCTGCGAGTCCTCTTCATATCTAAAAAACAATATAAGTACAATTTCAGTAAAGGATTCGGTAGATGATCACTGAAAAATGAAAACAAATTCGGTGGACAATCACTGTAAAACATAAACATATTCGGTGGAGTACCACTGAAAAACGAAAATACATTCAGTGGACTGCTACTGAAAAACGGAAACAAAATCGGTGGACTACCACCGAAACAAGGTAACGATTTCAGTGGTAACCCACCGAAAGTAAAATTAATTTTCGTACCAACCATGTTCAAATTCGGCGGACTACCACTGAAACAATGTAACAATTTCGGTGGTAACCCACCGAAAGTAAAATCCAGTTTCGTAAAACCAGGTTTGAACCATACACCTACAAAGTTGAAATAAAAAATTAAAATCAAACTTTGGTTTTTCAAGAGTGAAATCAAACATAGGCTTAATCAACACTTAGAAACATAAATATAGAAATCAAAATTGAAATCAAACCTTGGATTTTCAAAGGATTTTGAGGTTAGATGGAATTGTGAAAACTTGACAGATCGACAATAGGGCTTTGTGATGGTTGAGGCGATGGTGGTTTGCGACGAGGTGAGGCATTTCGGGTTGGCGATGGGGTGTGCAATGGGGGTTTACGATGGGGTTGGTGTTTACTGCAATGGCTCTATTTCAAATTGGATGGGGTGTGCGATGGAGTTTGTTGCAAACCTCTGATGGGGTGTGCGATGGGGTGTCTGCAAGAGGAGGGAATTTTCAATTGGATGGGGTTTGATATGAGATGAGGTGTGTCTGAAAGAGAAGGGGTTTTCGATGGGTGGTGTATAATATGAGATGGGGTTTACACAGTAAGTTAGAAAATGGGGTTAATAAGGGCAATTTAGGAAGAAAAATGGGGTATAGTGAGTAATTTTTAGTGGGGTGTAAAGAGAATGTGGGGTGCAAAGAGCAAATAATGGGGTGCCAATAAAATCTCCCAAATTCTTTTTCTCTGCTTCTTCTATATTTCAGCTAAAACACATTTTTAGTCCTCAGTGTTTGAACACACAATATTTGTTGAGTGTGGGTTTACTTTCCCCCGATTAAAAATGTTTAGAATCAATTCCCCCAACATTCATGGAGGGCAAGAACGCTACCAAATACTTTGCTGAAATCCAAATCCTGAGAAATTGGGTAAAATTTCGAATTATCTATCTACCTAGTCTTTGAAGAACTTAGCACTTGCTTCCTACAAGGGTCAACCTCAAATATCTCTCAATTGAAGAGATACAGAGGTTAGATAAGGACTTTAGTATTATTATTTTTGTCGGAATTTTAAAAAGGTTTTAAAAATTAACCGTTTTTATTTATTTAATTATTTTGGTTGTTTTATTTTATTTATTATGGAGGTTATACATATTTAATTTTTAGGTATGATTTCTATATTGAATGCCTTAATTTTCTAGTTTAATGTGGTGAATGTTATATATTATTGGATGCCTATAAAGGCCACTCCTCCTTCGCATTAAAAAAAAACACAATACACCATTAGAATATCACATACCACAATCACCACGACAAACTAATTCTCTCCTTTTCTACTTTTATTCTCTATTTTATATTATTATTTTGGCAATGCTTATGTGACTTGGTTACCTATATCAGTCTATGAACGTGCTCATAGCGGATCTTAAGTTTGTGTACAATGGGTCGTATTTTGGAGTCTTGTAGACCGTCAGTACCTGCACGTAGGGATGCTACAAAGGCTTTAGGACAACGTTTTTAATGTGCTTCAACGTACCAAACTCACCTTCTTACTTATAATTTATTTTGCTTTCACTTATCTATTAATTTGTTTTTCTTCAATTTCATTATACCTTAAAAGTTTTCCAATTTCTTTATATGTTATTTATAATATAAATGTTTTGTATTTGGCTTTACGGAAAAGGAAAACTATTTTTTTTTTTTTTTTTTTTTTTTTTTTTTTTACAAAACTTGAAACAAACTTCAACAAGAAAAAATTGGTCAAATGTTGTAGAAGAGTTGTTGAAAAAAAAGAAATCGTCACTCAGAATGAAATTGATGATCAGATCCAGCAACTAACACATTTTAGGATTGTGTTCCAAGCCACTATGCATCCATACATTTTTGGAGTCGTGTTTGAAGCCTTTTTGAGACAACAATAATTATGGTTGAAATTAGAAGAGAAATACCGAAGTGTTGAATTTTGATGTGTAAATACACATTTATGCGATAAAAAGATGATGAAGTGAGACTATTTTATTAAGCCCCTGAATGCACATAAGAGAACATATGGCATAAAAAATGCCCCTAAAACATCTGGTATAAAATTAGACAAATTTCTAGAATCTTATCAAAAATAGAATAATAATACAAAACTTTTTTTTATTTAAATTATTGCCGAACAAGTATTGTTTGGGCTTAAATCCTACGTGCTAGCCAAAATGGGCTATTGGGTTCATTTTACAAAACGTTGGGCTTTGTTTACCAAAAATGGTGACTAGTCCATACTATTGAGCCTAAGGGGAATTTAATTAATTCATGATTTTTGGATAAATTGGTAAATAAATTACCACCAATGGTGATTTAATCCAAGAATCAAATTTAAGTAGCTAGCCAATTTAAGCGGCCCAATTTAATCGGCCCAATCTACGACTTTGGTTACCCCCTGCTCTTTGAGTAATTGTCCCCTGAGATGCAGCTAGCCTACTTAAGCGGCCACGGTTGGTTTATAGGAACTACTTCAGTGTCAATGATTGATTAGATTCATATGTAATCATGTCAACATGGCATCGAAGGACTCGATAAGCATCGTTTTCGCATTGTTTTCTCTTGTGTTAGCCTTTTTACTGAGACCTTAACGATTAGGAACGCGATATCTGCAATGCTTGATGAATTGGGAATTCAGGGGACATAAAACCCGGCTATGATGGATGTGCAAAGTAGGGTGGTTTGGCAGTTGTTATCTCTGGGGTGAATCTTTCCCGCACTGATGGATGTGCAAAGTTGTGTGGAACTTCTCTTTGTTCGCCAAAATATAAAAAACCGTCACTCTGAATGAAATTGATGATTGGATCAAGCAACTAACACATTTTAGGATTGTGTTCCACGCCACTATGCATCCACGCATTTTTGGAGTCGTGTTTGAAGCCATTTTGAGACAACAATAATTATGGTTGAAATTGGAAGAGATATACTGAAGTGTTGAATTTTGATGTGTAAATATGCATTTGTGCAATAAAAAAATGACAACGTGAGACTATTTTATTAAGCCCTAAATGCACATAAGAGAACACATGGCATAAAAAAGCGCCCCCAAAACATTTGGTATAAGATTAGACAAATTTCTACAATCTACGCACTAGCCAAAATGGGCTATCGGGTTCATTTTACAAAACGTTGGGCTTTATTTACCAAAAATGGTGACTAGTCCATACTATAACATCCTTGACCCAATTTAATCGATTTAATCAAATTTAATTCTTTTGTGAAATTACAATTTTACCCTTAGGAGTAGGTGTAATTGGGTCACTTTTCAATCCAGAAGGATATAGGGGAAATGAGTGACATTGTTGTGTAGAGCTCACTCTCACGAGTTCGTAGACATGTAGTAGGCCCAAATTGGAGTTTTAATGAAGAAGTTGTGGTCAACAGAAGTGCAGTGGCACAACCGTAAATTTTTCAAAGTTGGGTTTTAAAAACAGATCAGCTTTCTCTCTCTCTCTCTCTCTCTCTCTCTCCTCCGTGCGTAGCAGCAAATTTCTGACGGCGATTTCGTCGTCCTCCAGTGTTCGACTAAGGTGAAATTGGTAGCAAAAGTTTCGTATTGATGTCCTCTATCTAATCCACCCATTTTCCGAGCTCAAAAACCGAAGGAAATTAAACTGGAATGATTGGAAGTTTGGGTGATTTTAGAAGTTTTCGACTCAAGTGAAATTGGTAGTCAAAATTTTCTCAATCCACGCACGCGCTGCTGGCGTTTGTGGCGGCCTATGGGTCATGGTGTGGCAGCCCATTGTATTCTAAAATATTCTCCATGTGGTCTTGAGCGCGACGGTATGCTGGGATTCGAATTTGATTATCGTATGACAATCGAACGGGTTTACGCCAATTAAGAAATATCTGGGTTCGATATGTTCGAACCGTTGGATCGGCTCCAATTCCAAGTATCTCATTCCTCGTGCCTCTATGATCGTGTAGAAACTCACGGATCGAGAATCGGAATTCCGGATACTCCAAATAAATGATTCTAGGGTTTGGTAAACCAACGACCGTCCGATCGCTCAATCAAGAGCGATCCAACCACTCAATCGAAACCAAACTTTCAGGACGTGTTTAGTAGACCTGGTTGGACCTCTAGGAACTTTCTGTCTTGAAATTGGAGGTGGTGGCCCCCGCGGGCCGTATTGACCAAAAATGGAAAGTTTGACCAAACCGTTGACCACGAGGTTTATGAGACCACCCCATCCTTTGTAAAGTACTAGAATAGCCTTAAGACTTCTCTAAGGTGGTGGGTCCATGTGAAGTCTCTTGAACTAGGGTTTGATTTTAAATGCACGATTGAGGCTATATAACGAGTTTTGGTAGTGTTTGGACTTTTGATTTAGTGTACATTACTCTCTGAACATTTGTAAGGTATGTTTTAGTGGTTTAATTTTGAGATTATAATATTATTTAATTATAGTTATTGGCTGTTATATTGATATAAATGAAGCTTTGGGGATGGTGTAGAGTGATACATGATTTGATGTTGAATGACGATAATTCCTGTGTGAATCTAGAATTCAATTTTGATTGTGGAAGCCGAATCGGTTGTTATTTAATATTTTGGTTTGAGGTTATGAATGTGTTGGGTTTGGAGTACATGCTTTTAAGAGTTTGTTGTCCATACTACAATATTTTGAGTTATGGAAAATATGATTATGGGATTTCCAGGGATTACTACTGTTAGTAGTAGTATTATTATTATTATTATCAACATCATTACTACTATTATATATGTGGGTTTGGGGTACCTTTGAATATT